GCGAAATTAAGATCAAATATATGATTATACCGATTAAATCCTGCTTCGTACTCTGGAATGGTAACACAAGGGCCGGAACTACGCTTTTAATTTTATACCGTCGGATTTTCGCGCCTATATTGTAATAGTTCGGATTGATGTGCTATTTGGCTGGCCATCTGCATCCGTCTTCATCAGTCGTACGATTATTAGGTGTTTGATAACGCGGCAACTCGGCTGGACGGGTGGCGTTAGACGCATTCACCTCCACGTTCGGTCAGTATAAGCGCAAGTTGTCTTTGCGATGGCTTGATCAATGTGATACCTGTGATTGTAATATGAATTGCAGTGGCGGTACATCATGATCCATGTTTATCATCTACAGCTGGATGTAGAGCCTTTAATGCGTGTTCTCGAGCAAGTGTAAATATCTGGGTTTGCACACAAAATATGCGGTGCTGTTGCTTATATGAATAGGAAGATCTTCTACTAGAAATTAGGTAGTGTGAAAAATATAATTACAACGAGAATGGAGTGTTGATTCTGGGTCCCTCGAGGAGCACTGATAGTTCGACCTGAATGACTCAAAGAGCAGCAGTGCACGCTGAGATAGTGATAGGAAATTCCTCACGCACTACTGTACGTATATGTGCCAAAAATGCACACAACGAACAGTGAACTAAAAGCAAATTACAGTCTTAAATAAAACCCAACTTCTAGCTAATACTCTTGAAAACAGTTTTGTTGAGCCTATATGTTATGTTAAACCTTTTATCAATTGTATATAACTTCACAGTGATTCAGAAAAGTGGACGAGAACAGGAGGCGAACAAGGGAAAGATAATCCGCAGATGAAGAACGATTTTACTCACAAATTTATTACATTTCTTCATTGCTAAACTGATTAATCATTGGGAATGCACAAAGACCAGTTTATGTGTATGTCAATACTCAATGGAACAAGTGCTTCTACTTTGCATCTACTGACACTCACGAACATTAGCTTTGCTCCATGAGGTACCTGTAATCCAAACGTGTTAAAATAATCACTGGTTAGAGAGTCGCTTTGAAGTACTCGTTATGTGAAGGAATTGCAGCACGCAACATCAAGGTAGAATGAAAATAACACTGTAGTGAACTACGGTCCGTTTGAACATAAGAGCATGCGGTAACACAGGAATTGCTGTTTAGCTGACACTCCACTATTGATTAACTTGTTCTGAGCTACCCAAAACATGTGCGCCGCTCTTTACTACAGGTTAACAATAACACCTAGCTGAGATCATTTGTTTAAATTGGCAGGAAACTATAACCGCCCGAAGTGTTAAGGAAATCTCTTTTCTGTCCGCCTGTGTTGCCCAGGGAACCGCCTGCCATATTCGGTCTGTTTCATGACAACACAACTCATATGTAAGTACACTTGCACGACCCAATCAAGGCCTTATCTTGATTAAACACTGTAATGGGAATCAGGAGTTAATTGTATGTAATATTTCCCAGGAGCAAGCTCAGTCGAACAACGGTGTAAAAAAATTCAGTAGGTGAGTAAAACCTCAGTGCGGATGCCAATGTGCAGGGCGCGCGCACATTCATCCTGAATCGCAAGGCTAAATTCTTCAAGTGCAGGCCTTTCAACATTGTGCTCAGTGAGCTTGCCGCACCCCGAAACGCACCGCGGTTTACAAGCTCTGACCACCCACTGGAGCTACTAGCCCAAATTTCGTACCATCCGATCTAGAAAGCTGTATGCTTGAGCGTCTTCATGTCATTAAACATAACGGCCGGTTCATTGGGACACAGTCATGTGGGTGCATAGCAGTATACGGACAGCTAAGCGACGGCGTTTGCTGACACACCGCGAAATCAACTTTCACGCAGCATTGCAAATGATTAAAAAGGGACGTGCGAACCACCGTGATCACTCTTGACTGCCTAGCGCAGATGGCGCCACGTGAGTTATACAAGTATGCCAACTTGCTTGCGTAAAGCTTTAGTGCAGTGAAACGTGCTTGGATAAGAGTGTCTTTGCAAAGAAGCACCCACAAAATCGCATGCGATCTGGGCCACAGCCCAGCGTTCTCTGCTAAGTCAATTCGTAATCTGATCTGTTATGCTATTGGTTGATTTGGTCAGTCATCGAGTGGCGCGCTTTGGGGATTTTGCGCCCGTAGATAATAAAGGAATACCTTAAGGATTATTCTGAAAACTGTATGGATGGATCCGATTTTATTAACATTGTATTTGAAAGCGAAATGAATGAAGGTAACTGAGACGTATAGACCTTTGTGGTACAACTTACAAGCTCCAGCTCTCTTCCTAATCTTTTCGGTGTGTTTTAAACTATGCAAAATGACCCACCTATCAGTCATCAACTGTTGTGCCGAACGTTGCCTGTCGTAGCCCAGTAGCCAGAGAGTAGAAGTTTCGACTGCTTTTCTAATGGTAATGGGTTTTAGGCACGCTATCTAACCTGGTGAGGTCAAATGAGTTTGAAACGAATTGTAATTGTGTCTTGTTTTCGGGCGGGCAACACAAAAGGTCGTCTACGGTCACAGTAATCACATTGACCAAGATTTATTATAATGTGAATCATGGTATACATAGTGGGCATCTCGACAAAACCATACTTCAAAATGACCCTGCAATTTTGTATCATGGTTACGCTACTCTACAGAAATAATAGGGACATATTATGTTCACACAAACTATCAAAATGTCACATCGTAGCTAGTTAACGGAATAGGTAGCTATGAAGAGTAATGAAGCACCTGTAAAAGAAACGCTGGGAAATCGCAATGTTTCAAGTTGTGGAAACGTCTTGATAGCATTTTGCTTTTATGCAACGGACAAGATAATTCGATGTAAAGGATCTAAACACAATTGAAGGAAACTAGTTGCAAAATTCCGCTTCGAACTTTATCGTGTCGCGGGAGTCCCAGAAGATCAAGAATACCGTGTTCAATATACCGTAAGATACCGGCATTTCATACTGGAACTGAACTAGCATATTTGCTAACGGTAATGCACTGAATCTAGAAGCATATTTCTGTCCTCCATCATTCATGCCACGTGATGACCGGCAAATCTTGGCCACTTAAACATGAAACTTGCAAACTATATAAGCAGTTGTGTTGATCGGCTGGTGGGTTGACCCTAAGTACGGTAAACTGGTATTCGTTACCCTAAACCAAATGAAAATTATTCGCATTTGCATACACTACAAGTACACTTGGCGGGTATCTAAATGTTATTTATCTCATGCTGTAAGGGATCCTTTATTTTGAACGAAAACTGTACAGTGCCTCTAACTTGAACAATGGAAACTCTTGCAATACTCTGAGAGAATCTCGTCTTTGATTTTCTTCCTTCTCAGCCACCGGAGTTCGCTTACTTACCAACAGTTTACCAAGGCAGGAGGAAGCAATGTGCGACTTAGTGAGATATTGCATTATAAGGCGATTTTTTGAATAGCATGCAACCTATTTTGTGTTACATAACTAAGCCTGTTACAATTTACCATTGTAGCTGTCAGAAAGAATCCCAGAAGAATGGCAATCATCTGGAAGTTATGATTGCTCTCATGAACAGTCAATTAAGTTGGATTCAAATTCGCACATTATACCCTATCGCATATCACTGGATTATTCCAAAATTGCCAAATTTCCAAACGGAGAATACTTTGAACAACTTGCTTTCATCAACCGAAATTTAAATTCACCGAATGCACCATGTGCGACAGCGGTAGGGCCAAATTGGTGGCTTTCTGAAAATACAAATGGTATGTTGTAATACGGTTAAATCAAGTCCCCACTGGTCCAATTTGTTATTTATTTAATTCTATGAAATATCTGGGAAAAGGCGAAACAGGCTGCGCGTCGTCAAAGTGTTCACTGGTTTGTATCAACTTTCCAATGAATATTACGAGCGGTCTCGCATTTACGTAGGTAACACGCAAATAGATTTTTGTGCACAGCTCAGTTTTGTGCAAACATTATTGCAGCTACAACCTACGGGATCAAAATGTTTTTTAACTCATATTCACTGGACATACCCCACACTTTTTGTAATGAAGTAAGTTCAACTTTCGTGACGTTACCTAATAAGACTGCGCAATTGTACGCACGAACTGTTACTTAAATCTTAGGCTTTTTGCGGTATTATGGTATTTAATTTGGTTGGTTCACGCTTAAAAGACTCGACTGCCGGTCATATATACAAGGCTGTATGAGCCTGAGTCCTCTATTGAAAGTGACTAAATGGGAAACACTCAATTTTTTATCAATTGTGCACCAAACCCTTAAGTTTAGTTATGGTCATAGTGTTCTAAATATCGCTGGCTGATTGCAAATCTAAGCTTAGGCACAACTGTTATTATGTGTCTCAATCCACGACACAAGGCAATTTTCATTACACTAATTCAACCACTTTTGTACAGCACTCTTTATGTTGTGACTTATTTTTAATCAACTTTGCTCACCTAAGATATTTATCTTCAAAATGCTCGTCACTTGTATTACTCCGTAAATTACGTGGTAGCTAGTTACTTTACACTGTCTGACAAAACCAGTGTAATGACTAAATTTTTTAAGCACCATTATTTCAAGTTACGTTTTAATTCCCACAATACTGGGGACATAGAAGTAACGGGACTAGGTGTATCAAATAAGGAAAACGTTGTTCCACACTTATGTTTTCTCAAGTAAATCGAAATTAATTCCGAACTAGCTGTGTCCGTCGAAAGTATGCAGGATAACTAGGCGTAAAGAACCCAGCCATAAATGGAAATTGGAATAAATAGGTACATACAACTTGTTAGTTTATAAACATGGTGAATGGTTTGCTTGATTTTTAATTATTACCTAGTTGACCGTGTTTATAATGGCCTAGTTAACTGAAATACTAGCTTGGCCTTCAGATGGGAGATGGGTGTGTTTGTGTAAAGCTGCCTCAAACAGAACATATAAATAAATTGCAACTGATTTTTTCCAAGTTGTACTATTATTGGCCATTGTATTTGAAAGTTAAATCAATGTCAGGCCAAACAATGTGTCAATATATGATAATCTGTTACTTAGGTTTAGAAGACAGGTATATCACAATCAGCATTTTCCACACACCAGTTAAGTAATTTTAGTTTCAATTTTCGTCAGCCTGATGACAGTTTCGTTATTTCGCTTAACACGTGCGTCAGCTTATGCAAATAAAGTAATTACTTTCACTTTTTCTCTTCTATTTCATGAAAGTACGTTCCTTTCCTTGTGCTCTCATAACCTCACGTTTTCCAAGTTACAAAACAATATGATCATAATATTTTCATGCCAGACTTCTCCGCTTTGCCTAAATAACAGAGGCAGGTAAATATCAGAACGGTTGTAGGTGTAGGTGAATTATTGAACTCTGGGCTTATTTTTACCTCTTGCATTTTGAAGCATCATAGAAGTAGCTATTGCATCAAGCGTTATTTCCGTCACCATAAACGTCGTTTTAGTATCTGTACTTAAAACTCTTCTGTTGATTACGGCGTAATAAACAGCCGCAAACAAAACAACAGCTAACCAGCGTTTCATCTTATCCAAGTTTTAGAACGGTTTTTAGTACATAGTTTGTTCTGGCTGCATACGAGTTGCCTTTACATAATAACCGTTTGTGCTCCTACTGACCGCATTTCGAAGGGCAGCAAAGACGATTTCTACTACCTTCTTTCATCTCTACTGCGCATGTCGAAGTATACTGTCGTGATTGTTGCTGGGGGCTTGAATGCCAAGTGACATCTTTTAGATACTGAAAACCACCTGGGACGGCACTTTGAATTCGATCCATGTCAAACAGACAAGGAAGATTACCAACTGCAACTGCAATACATGATCGAATATTTGCCGATGAAGTTTGGATAATTTCATTCCTATAGAAGAATGTAGACATACATAAATGCGTAACTAAATTTGAAAAGGTCACATGCAAAATTCCACAAAGGATCCTTTGCACACTTCTGACCCTATATTCGCTTAGCACCACCCCTATTGACGTGCGTTTGAGGTATCTGTTTTTACGTACCGTGTCCACGCGGTAATGCGGGCAGCGTGCCTATAATAAGATATTTTATTTTGTGGCAGAAATGCTCTCTATATCGCACATTTGACATTCGAGACAGATGGCAGTATGAAACATACGGGAGTATTAACAAACATGGAGAAAACATAATGGTGAAAACTTACCGGTAGATTTCTGGATCGTATACTATTATATGGACTTATGGATTTGATGTTGTAAGTTTACACTTTCGGCCTATCCATGGACGGGCTTATATTTGGGAATATTTGGTGTGTATTGATAACAAGTTTTGTATCTGGAAGCACTGTTTTCCAGCACAAATGTCTATACAGCGTCACCAGACGCTCACCGAATTTTTCAATGACTGGGAAAAAGATTGATGATATTGCAATCAGCTACAGGTGACATATAGCAGTTCAAGACTGTCGGTCAATTTAGGGCACATGCCTGGATTCCGACAAAGCCTTAGTGCTTCTACGCCTGGTGCTTACTCATCCCACTTCAAAGAAGCGCCTATCTTCTAACCTTCTTACCTGCAATTTGAATTCGGCTCAACAATAGCATAACGAACTGGTCGACCAATTGTTAGTGATGAATGAGGTTGGTGATCTGGATGATGATTGGGAACTTCTCAAATATGTTACGAAGAATGCTCCTGACGCTTGCTGTGCACTTGACGTGAGAAGTTGGAAATGTGAATGGATCTCTGAAGCATTGATCAGTTCGCTCGAATCGAATAAACGGGTTCCGATGGGCACGGAATTTCATCGCACCCATAACCGACTGAAACGACGTCTGACAAGCATTTTTGGAGTTGACCGGGAACGTTAGTGGTTTGCAGAGACCTCTGAGATGGAGAAAACTAGCGCTATTGGAAGCAACCTGATGCAATTCCAAATCATCCGGAACAGGCGTCAGATATCGCCAGCAGTTAGATAGACAATAGCTACAACGTCTTCGACCAGCCAGTTGGGCGGATATTTTGAACAGTAATTCAGCAGGCCTACTGTGATACTTCCACCTACGGAACTATCTGAGCCGACGTGTGAATTAGATGTCGCACCAACCACTTTGGAAGAGATTCGACATGACCTCGACGTTATGAAAAGCAACATGTTTCCGAGACTCTACTCCCTTTCCCTATTTTTGGCGAAAGATGACTGTGACTCTTTTTTGACTGGACTTGCTTCTATTTTTAGCACGATTTGGAACACTGAATAAGTGCCCTCAGTCTGGCGACTAGCAACTGTCATACACACCTTTAAGCGGGGTCAGGCTACTTTGTGCGAAAATCATTGGGACATTAGCCTTTTTTATCCCCTCGACTTCTCCTACGTATCATTATTCGACAACTTACTAATCCCTGTGGGGGCTGAAACAGTGAAAGCCTTGATGGCCTGCTCCCTGGCCGGGGTTGCATCGGCCATACAATTCGCCTGTCAGGTGAAACTCCCCCACGTCCTATAACACTGCCGTCTAACCATTTGCTGGAATCGGATAATCCCAAAACACCAAACTGGCACCGCAAGTAGGTTGTTTGACAAGCTAGCTAATCGTTACAGCAGAGATAAACATAATCACGACCGACTATTATGGGCTTTCCTTGAGTTGTAAGCCACCTTCGACTCTGTTGATCACACCAGCTTGTGTCGCTGTCTATCCATTAAATACGTGCCAGCTGAACTACTTTCAATGCTGAAGTTCTTATACCGTGATTCCCGAGGCCTTGTTAGGTTTTCTGGAAACACTCTTTTGAATTCCTTAGGTGAGGTGGGATTCGCCGGTGTTACTCTGTGTCCACTTTGTCTTCAAGTTTGCTATCAAAATGCGCCTGAAGGACTTGGTTCTTTCAGACTCTGTTAGAATGGAATTTCTACCAGTCAACCGACTAACAAACCTGGAGTATGCGGATGACATAGTTATCCTTGGATCTGATACATTAGCTATGCAAGCACTACGGCACAGACTTGCGCGTAGCAATTCACGATTCTACGTGTACTTTGCACCTTCAAAGTACAAAGTGCTGTTGCGGGACTGGACTGACACACAGATGTAAGCCATTTCCGAACAGCTAACAAAATGGTTGGATTGGTCCAATTACCTTGGCAGCTGTGTCCTTTCTGTTGCTGATATCACTAAGGAAGTTACTTTGTTTATCATTAAGGCCCGTATGGTTTTATAGGGACTCAATCATATATTAAGGCGACGGATTCTCATCTTGTCATTAAACGATAGAGCGTATAAGTTTGCGGTAAGACAGTTCTTACTGTATGGATCAGAGACCTGGTCATTCCGCGGCGAAGACATTAAACGCTTGGCCGTGTTTGACCATCAATACTCAGGAAGAAATACCCATTTTTGGTGGGAAAGCAGCTGAACAATGCCGACGTCCACCAGGTTGTTTATGGCAAGAAGCCTTCTGGTGCCTCTCTCGAATGTGTACTAAATCTTAGTCGCTTGCGTTCGCTGGGTCAGGTCCTCAGTATAACTGTTGTTCGGCTACGCTGGCTAACTTATACGCCGTGGCCACACCAAGTTGGGTGAAACTGTGAGGTGTTCATTTTATGACATGACATGGATGTATGAAGAAATTGACTGAGATATTTGATCAGGCTGGTGCGCGCCGTGTTCCTGCATGTAGGCATCGAGACTGCCATCACCAAAAGGTAGACATGATTAAGTCACTAGGTCAGTGGAGTTCCTGCGTTCTGCCTCGCTCATCTAGTTGTTAATTATCATTGCATCATGATTAATCTAACCCATTTCCTTCTTGCTATTGTTTCGCTACATTCTATTTGCACTCAGCGTCGCTAGCCTACCTCTGTTTTTATTGTTTTTCCTACGTTGGGAGTCGCGGCAACTGGATCAACCGCAGTTTGGTGCTTGGATCATAGTTGATCAAATGTACTGGAAAAAAACAATGCAACACGAATATGAATAAATAATTTGAGTTAATGACTGCTATTTGTACTCAAAGCTTGCTTCGCCCTGCATATTCAATAACTTGGTATGCCTATATT